TCAGCATCTGCCATGAGGAGGCCTCCATGTTTTGAGGTAACTATCTGGTATCTGACCTTAGCCCATGGGGAGAAACAGGCACTTTTGTGTCACTTTGACTTTTACTTATGTAAATGATTCATGGCTGAGGTGAATCATACTGAAAATTGCCTTTTTTTTTCCTCTGTAAGTAAAAGACACCCAAGTTAACACCTTACACAATGTAGCTATCCAAATTTAGAATAAGCAGATAATGGCATATAAAAACAAAGGAAAGAGGATAGTCTTCAGGGCATGATTTGTAACTTGGCATTTAAGGGGATAAACAGATCAAGAGCACCCTGGCTGAAAAGGACTTGGAAGTGGTGGTGGGTGAGAGGCTGGACTTGACCCATCACTAGGGGATAGAACCAATTCACATATGGGGCCCTCATTTCCCCTCAGAAGGGAGTCAGTGCTTATCTCAAGCTGAAACCTCTTTGATATTCACACACTAGTCACCCCTACTGATGAAAGCCCAGAGCATGACACAGTTTCATTCCAAAACCTGGCCCACAAGAGAAGGAAGTGGTGTCCTGACCTGATTTCAGATAATAGCCTGGTGGTTAGTGCACTTGTTGAAGAAGTAGGGCACTGTCCTGAGCCTGGGAGGGGAAAAATGTGTGCCTCAGGTCTCCTCTCTCATCACTTCTGCTCTGCAGAGCAAGCCTAAGACAGTCCCTCTCAGCTGAAGGAAAGATTTAGCTGTGCATGTGAGGGCAGAGGTTGCAGTGGTGAAACTTGGCCTTATCTGAATTCCAAAAGCAGTGATACAGATAAGTGGCAAAATCCTGTCTGACAGTTCCCAAATTCAGGATAATAGTGATGAGAAAGCTGAATGCTTACTGCTGACTGCTGTGAACCTCAGTCTACTGTGCCTACCTGTGTCTGTCCTAGCTCTTTGCTGTGGTGATTCTGAACCTCTCTCAGTTGCAGATAGTGAGAGGTTAGATACTTTTGGTATGAATTGCTTTATCTTTAAACGCTATAATAAAAACCTTTCCTACAATTTATTCATTCAACCAAAGTTTAAAAAAAAAAAATGTTTATTTCAAGGAAATTCACAGATCTCTCAGTCTCTAAATGCTTGTACTGGTACAGCTACCAGTGGCTAAACAGAGGAAATTAAGAGAGTTTACACTATGTAGATGAGAAACAACTCATATCTGATAGCAGAGAAATATTTTTTTCTCATTGGGAGTCATGATTTCTTAAGTAGGCTGCATTTGTGATGGGCTTTGTTTCTTCCAAAACTGATCTCCTTGTCTTTGGACAGTAAAACATCAGAGGAAGAATGTTTCCCAGTAAAATCTCTCTCACATAAATTCCAGAAATCCTTTTCACTGTAACTATTTTCATTATTTTGTTTATATTGGAACATATACATTCTCACTCAGACAGAGAATCACATGATTGTTTAGGCTGGAAAAGACCTCTAAGATCATCTGAGTCTATTAACCCAGCCTGCCAAGTCCACCACTAAACCATGTCCCCAAGTGCCACATCTAAATGTCTTTTAAATACCGCCGGGGTGGTTACCCAACCATTTCCCTGGGCAGCCTGCTCCAATGCTTGACAACTCTTGCAAAGAAGAAATTTTCCCCAATATTTAATTTAAACCTCCCCTGGCACAACTTGAAGCATTTTCAACATCTTCTCTTTATTATTTCTCTTGATACCTGGGAAAAGACCAAATCCTCTTGCCTTGCTACAGCCTCCTGTCAGGTAGTTGTAAAGAGCAATGAGGTCTTCCCTGAGCCTCCTTTTCTTCAGACTAAACACCACGAGCTCCTTAGCTGCTCCTCATCAGACTTTGCTCCAGACCCACCACCAGCATTGTTGCCCTCCTCTGGTCATGGTCCAACAGCTCAATCTCTTTCTTGTCATGAGGGGCCCCAAACTGAACACAGGACTCGAGGTGAAGCCTCATCAGTGCTGCAAAAAAAACCAGTGAGGTTTCTCAAAGTACTCACATGGGACTTTCTGGGACTCCCTTCATCTCATGTATACTAACATGTATGTGTCACTGCCTTTTCATGCCTTGAAGCTGGATGCCTTGAGAAATACACACCAAGAGTGCAATACAGAGTCTGTTTTCCTCCAAATGTTAACTTTCTAGTCTTCTGGCATTTTAGGTTATGCTTTTTTTTTTCATTACCCACGAGCTCCTTAGCTGCTCCTCATCAGACTTTGCTCCAGACCCACCACCAGCATTGTTGCCCTCCTCTGGTCATGGTCCAACAGCTCAATCTCTTTCTTGTCATGAGGGGCCCCAAACTGAACACAGGACTCGAGGTGAAGCCTCATCAGTGCTGCAAAAAAAACCAGTGAGGTTTCTCAAAGTACTCACATGGGACTTTCTGGGACTCCCTTCATCTCATGTATACTAACATGTATGTGTCACTGCCTTTTCATGCCTTGAAGCTGGGTGCCTTGAGAAATACACATCAAGAATGCAATACAGAGTATGTCTTCATCCAACTGTTAACTTTCTAGTCTTCTGGCATTTTAGGTTATGCTTTTTTTTTTCATTACAGTTGAAAATATAACTAAACACTTCACTTTTAACAGCTTCAATCCCAAGAGAATAAGAAGTATCCAGGTTCTAGAAATTGAAGTCATCTCCATTGTTCAAATAGTAGGATTGTTTAATTCATATCAGATGGTTTTCCTTAAATTTCAAAAATAAAAACTCACCTTTCATGTTGTAATAAATGTTGTAATAAAAATGTTGTGATAAAAATAGCTTTCATAATTTTTGTATGGCATTCATTGTTTGATTTCATTGTATTTGTATTCATTTGTTTGATCTCTTACTAGAATGACTAACAGTATGGTTTGGTATCACTTTAACCAATTCCAATCTAGCTTGAATATAGAGCCATACAAATTCTCTCCGTACAGGCATTAATGATAGCCTGGAACCTTCAAAGGATGTTTCATCTAATCCTAGAATAGCATTATAGGACAGTTGGGCTGCCCTCAATGTGACTGTCTTTCACCATTGATCACAGAGTCTGGAGGGCAGGCTTAGATGTGAACAGTTAGTTTTTTGTGGTGAAACCCAGGTGATATGAGCCCATTCTGTGGTGTAGGAGGAAACAGCACTGGATTATGTCTCCTACTGGAAACCATGTGGACAATTAACTGCAGTACAGCCTTCTAAGTATATTAGTTGCATTCCTCATCAGCTATGAGATAAGTCGAGTCTTGGGCAGGAGTTGGTGTATCAGAATTACTGCTTTACCCCAGACCAGGAGAGCACTTTTGAAGCACCTCTCCCACTCACCCCCACCTCCTGCAGTTTGGCTCACGTGTCAGAGCAGTCCCGGAATACACGAACCAGGCTCTTCCCAGCGTTGGAAACCCATATTTCGTGCCCCAGGATGACAGGTAAAGCTCTGCAATTGCTCCTGAGAATCCAGGCCTTGAAGACCTAGTGTAAATGAGAGTTTCAAGAAATAGCATCACATCATCATTGTGCAATGACTTTTAGAAAGGTGAGTACGGATCCACTGTGCTCTGAAACAAATAGAAGGTAGTAGTCACTAGAGGGAGCCCCTAAATCATCATATCCTACACAAAAGCCCACCTCAGCTGTGAGATGTTGAAGCACTTTAATAGTGTCACAGCGTTACTGCCTCAGTAAAGAAAACGAGGAAAAAATAGGACTATGCAAGGCTTCTGCAAAATTCAACATTAATTCTACCTTCTGAAAAAATACGGGCTTTTTAAAGATTTCCCCACAGAAAAACAGCTATTGCAAATTCAGTGCATTGGTTGGGAACAGAATTAGCTTTGCCTAGACCTTTTAAAAATTTCATCTTCAAGTAGCACCTGTGAGAGGGCATTCACCTTTCCCTCCTTCAAAGATCAAACGCCAAAATGGGCACAAAGTTGTCACTCTGAAAATCTTTAGACCACAAGCACAGCCCTCCTTCCTTTAACTTCATAACACCATGGGTGTGGCCAGTGCCAATTCCCAGCAGACAGACTTGAACAAGTGCTACTTAGAGCAGCAACCCGGTCTGGCTCTCTCTGTGCTTGAAGAGGGCTGTGTAAAAGGCAGCAAAGGCATGCTCCTGTTGTGTAACTGCAGGCATGCATTCAATTTTCTGCTGTATTCTAAATTTAGTAAATAACATAGCAGTTACAGTTTGTGGTTCTCTGTTACAAACTCTATAGAATTTGCAAGAAGTCCTGGAAAAAAAACAATAACAAGGATATGAGAGCTGTGGAGATGGCCCCAGCTGCAAAAGAAGCTCTTTCAGTGAGTAGGGCCCTGCAGAGATTGATTGCAACCTGGGCAGAAAAAACCCAGAAGCAGCTCAGAAGGTGTTTCCTTTTAGAAAACATGCAGCAGTAGAGGGCATCAGACAACAAGAAATCCTGTAGACCTTAATGTATCCTTGAAGTGCCAAAGGCCCAGTGAGAGGAATGGGAACTAGAGAGGTACAAATTGGGACTCTATAATGCAGGTGGGGACCAGAAAGCAGACACTGAGAGAAGTCAAACCAGACACATCACTCCTTCTGTGTATCTTGGCTGTAACCACTCCAGCATGGTAATGCTGTGGTGGGAGGGAACAGGGAAGGGATCACCTATGGTGTTCTAACTGGCCTCATAGGTGCTCCACTAGCAATCCAACCTGAGCACTGCAATTTATACCACCAACTTACCACAACCTCTCCTTTCTCTCATAAGATGCAAAAATGCAGGAAACTGTTAGTAAAGCAAGATTGCTTTTGGGCAGTGCCTCCTGCTGTCCCAAAACACTCAGTACAAGAGGACTCACATAAGAAAAAATCAAGAGAGTATGCATTAGCCATCGTGTAACCTTAATTTGTCCCTTTAAGTGATGGCTAGGAAACAGGCAGCACTCAGAAGTGAAGCTGAATGACTCATTTGCTGAAAAAGAAAATTCAAGCCTCTTACCAGCATTTCCTCCCCACCCTAGAACTATTTGTCCTAGCATGTGCAGAGACAACCACCTCACTGCAGCGTGCACTCAGGGTGGCCATAAAGTGAAGAAATTAGCTCAATTTCTACTTCTACAACAAAGAACTGCTGCTCTGTAAGTACAGCGATTTTCTCTTTTCCTTGGTGGAAGTGAGGAAATGTTTATTGGGAACTGTTATTTACAGTACCTTTCACAGGAGTGTCTCAGCCTTGAAGGAGGTCATTCCCATCCCTTGAGAGACTGGTGGTTAGGCAGAAAGCGTTTTAGCTGCGTCTGTGGCGCTCCCCAGCCAGACCCTCACGGCCTGTGTGAATGTCACAGTTGTGCAAACAGCAGGGGGAAGTGCAGCTTGAGACTCCATGAGAAGCCAGAACGTGCAGCTGCTTGGAAGCTCTGGCACAACATGCTTTTCCTGTGGTGAGCTGTGGGACGTGCAGCTAGGGCACATTTCGGGACTGCCTTCAGAAACGCTGCGCATTAGCAGCAGTCCTCGTGCTGGAAAATTTGGAATAATTTTAAGTCACCAGTCTATCAGCTGCCTGCTTTGAACACAACTTGACCAGGTACTGTATTCCTCCCTTACTATGTTGGGAAATACACAGGGAAAATGTTAATGGCTATTTGGAATTTTATTTTTTTTTTTGGTTCTCTAGATAAAAATATCTCAAGGAAGTTTTTAAAATACTTTTCTGTTTAGAACAACATTTTTCTCCTACAAGGCTATGTACAAAGAAAGAGCCACAGGCTATGTGTTTACAAGCTTGTGTTTGCTTTTATTTGTATCAAGTCTACAAAATAGGAATTTTTAAAATAAATTTTCACAGACTGAACAGTACTGAATTGAGTGGTATTAATGGTCTGACTTTTCACTGAGTGTTGCCAAGCTGATGTCACAAATACATACTGTTTTCAAGGAAAGTGCATATGAGTACGTAAAAAACAATATTTCCTCTTATGAGATTTTAGTGTCTTGTAAGTATTTTGTTAGAAAGCTAAAGACTGATTATAAACTTTGAAACAATACAGGAAAACAATTGATAAAAAAAGTGTATATGAGTAGGTAAAAAACAATTAATATTTCCTCTTATGAGATTTTAGTGTCTTGTAAGTATTTTGTTAGAAAGCTAAAGACTGATTATAAACTTTGAATCAATACAGGAAAACAATTGATAAAATACAAAAGATATGCAAGCTATACCTCCCAGGATTATTAAAATAGATGAAGAAAGAGACAAAAACTAAGTTACTTTGGGGGAGGGATTAACAATGGGAAAGGGAGGAGGGAGTTTGCTATAAGCCAAATTCAGTTCAGATAGCAGAGGGGAATATTTGCTTGTGATTTCTCTGTCTGGGCTCACCTTTCACTGAGGAAATGGCTTGACAGGGATAATACCAGTCAGTATAATAAATAATAAATCAATAGCTGTTTTCTGTATATTGCCTGCTATTTTACAGGCAGCTTCTGGGGAGGTTCAACCTCAAGCTCCAGCTGTGCTTTAAATCAGCATCTCTCTACTGTATGACAACCAACTGCACAACTAAATCTGATTATCTCCAACTCCTTTATTACTTCGATTGTTTTGGAGGTTTATAGGATATAAATGCTAAAGATGTCTGAAGTGTTCTCCTGTACTTTTCCTATAACTATTTAGGATGCAGCAAAGGCACAAACTCACATGCAGGAAACTGAGTGTCTCTAGATAGCAATGGTGCCTCAGCTCTCATGCTTGTAAGCAAGTGTTTGGATGCCAGTTTTCTAAGCATAGAAATTTAATTTTTCCCACTGAAACTTGTAGTGTTGATGGATAAAATGCAAGAACTATGAATATTAACTAAACTGCTTAATACATCATTTCTGGAAAACAAAAATAAATATAAAAGAAACATAATTCATAAAGTTGAGGTGCTTGGGACAGTTGAGCCAGGAATGGGATATACTTCAAAGTTTATTTTAAAACTTTAGAACGAAGCTCACTCAGCCCCGACTTCAAAGTCTTCAAATAGTTTATCTCACTGTCCTGACAGTGAAAGAAAAGCCCCAGAGAAACCTCTTCACTCTATGAGAGTGTAGTTAAGTAACAAGAGATCTTGAATTCTTCCAAGAAATTATAATTGTTGGAAAAAGATGAGTAGAATTTCTACAACTAAAAATTCATCTTGCAAGCCTGAAAAGAAATTTACCACATTATGTGAAAAAGCACAATGCTGCTACTGTCTATGGTTATAGAAATGTAAATTATATTGAAGACTGGATTTTAAATCATTATTTTTTCTTTTCTGAACATTAAATATTTTTATATAGATGATTCATGTAAGAAAATGGAATTATTTCACTATTTTGAGATAAACTTCGTTACTCAAAAAGAAAAATCTCTCTAATAAGGGAAGGGCTAGCAGTAAAAATAACATTAATGTCTTTACTCTTCTCCAGTGTACCTTCATTCTGAGGTACACTGGAGCAAATAAAACAGAATGTTAACAGGCTTTGAGAAAATTTTTAATCTATTTTTATTGCAGTTGCCACTAGGAAGATGTAACTATGACAGAGTACTCTTGGTTTTGCAGGATCCGAACACTCCAAATGCAGAAATGATTTGGCAAGTAACGTCTCATTGGTAAGAAAAAAACATGAGTTACTGTTGTATCATACTTAGATCTAAAGTGAGTGAAGCTTAATAATGACGTAATCCTGTGTTATAAAAGAGTAGCATTGTTTATCTCACAGTGTGATTTTTGTTTGTTTTTCTTGTTATTAACTTTTTCACAACCCAAAGATCCCAGTCCAGCCAAAAACCATGTCAGAGGAAGTTGATCCCATTCTCAGCTTCCCAGAACAACCCTTTATAAACATCCAAAGCCATAATCACTTGTATGCCATCTGCTGCATGTAAATTCCCATGTGAGACTGCTCACAGGAAACTTGGAAACAATCAGGAAAGGAGATTTTTTTAAAGTTATGGTACTGACATTTTCCCCTTCATTACATCAGTTTGGGGAAATGATAAACACTTAGCACACTCTCTGTGTCTGCACAGAGTGGTCTGGTCTGCAGCTCACAAAGGAGGGTCTCTGGCCACGTGCAGGGGGAGTGATGAATGGCCAGGTCACTGGCTTCTTTTACTCTTCTGTGTTTCAGGTCACCCCTGGTTACACCCCTGATTTTTGGTCTGCTTCTGCAAGCACCATTCACACAGCCTTCCACCATCACACAGCCAAACTTTGTCCTGTTGCTGGCTGATGATCTTGGCATAGGGGATGTAGGTTGCTATGGGAATGATACTATCAGGTAAGGAAACTGACCCTAAGGGTGAACAGAGCTGGTGTGATATTTCATGTAAACCTGAAACCCTCTGCCCAGCATTATTTCATAGCCTGGAGGGCATTCCAGCTCTGCCTTGTGGCACTGTTTTACTGTGAGAATATGATAATCATTCTTGTGTATCCTTTAATTGTCTAACACTGACAATACACAGGCCTCATTATCTCATCTTAATTCTGTGTTACCATTCTTTCCCAGTCTCACCTCAAAATACAGTTAAATGACTGCAATGAGCAAAGTTACTAGGAAATATTTCTCTTTTCAGCCTCAAAGACATATAATTTGCCTTCTCTTTGAAAGTTGTGCCGTAGTATTGCCTGCTGGCTTGTAACATGTTTGAACAAAATGAAATTTGCTACAATCCTTCCCCTCATCCAGCAAAGTTCTTGGAATCTTACCCTGGAAGGCTTCAGTCAGCGAGTTGCTGACAGGCAGCTGGTGATCACAGGGAGCTGATAGGGCTCTGCAAAGCCAGGCCTCCACAGCATCATCCCCAAGGCATGGATTTTCTTTTTTTACATTCAGACTGTACTAACAGGGAGGCAAGTATCTGTGCTCTCTTAGCCACTGATTCTCTGCAGTGCAAAGATTTTGAAACAGTTTGGGAAGCAGTTTGGGAGCACCTAATGCTCGTTTGAGGAGGAATGTTTATCAGCTGACTGAGATGGCAATTGTGTGGAGGGTGGAACTACTTTTTTTTGTTTGCCAAGTTACCCCGGACTGCACCTCAGGCAAAAAGCTGTAGAGAATAAGAAATGTTGCAGATGTTGTTTCCTGGCCGCTTGTCTTTGAGGGAAGAATCCATAACAGTATGAGTACAAAGCAACAAAACATCCAGGATCTTCCAAAATCCTACTTAAGGTTTTGCCTTCTTGTCATTGAACTGATAATTGCAAAACCAAAATTGTAAAACTGAAGCTCAATCTAATTTAAAATAGAGGCACACCTTGAATTGGAAGAGGGGGATATTGTACTCTGAAATGTAAGATATTGCCTTGTCTGTAACTAGTGTGCTAGGCAAGCTTGTTTCTGTTGGTTGCCAGTTGTTTGCAAAATACCCTCTTCTCACCCACTTACTCACACGTGGCTTCATTCATGTTACTGTGAGAGGTTGCCACTACAGTGTGAAAACATGCAGGATTTCTTTCCTTTTTCTCCTCTTCCCTTCACTTCAAATGTCATGAGAAGTACCTTGTTAGCTTCCTTATCGGTACTGTAAGTCATGTAGCTTCTTGTCTAGTCAAGCACTGTCACCCTGTGGCAACCAAATTACCATTACACTGATGCACTGAGGCTGACACACAGCTCTTGAAGAAGCCAGTGTAGGAAAGGCAGCTCCGGAGGAATCAAAGGTCTTTGCTGTGAGGGAGGTGAGGCAACTGGAACATGGAGAAACTGTGGATACCCCATCCTCAGAAGTGTTCAAAGCCAGGTAAGATGGGGCTCTAAGCAACCTCATCTATGGAAAGTGTTCTTGCCCACAGCAGGGGGGTTTGGAATTTCGTGATTTTTAAGATCCCTTTCTGCCCAAACCATTCTCCAATTCTATGATTTCTGCAAGACTCTTCATAGGACAAGGGGGGGGAAAAAAATTAATCTGTCTCAAAATTAATCCAGATACTAATTTTTAACGAAGAAAGAAAAAGAGAAATATTTCCCTATCACTTGAGAAAATTTAAATAAATTACAAAACTATTTCCTGGCCATCTTCAAACAGAACAAACTTCTGAAAATAAAGATAAGTATATAATTTCTTATTCCCTTGAAAGACTCTCTAGGTGATATCTGGTGGCACTGGTTGCTTTTTCAGGACGCCCAACATTGATCGCCTGGCAGAGGAAGGAGTGAAGCTGACCCAGCACATCGCTGCAGCCCCGCTCTGCACGCCCAGCAGAGCAGCTTTCCTCACTGGCAGATATCCCCTCCGATCAGGTTTGCCTTGTAAAGCCACACACCTTCAAACATTGCTCTGTTGCTGGAGAGAGCAGCATCATACAATGGGCACAGAAAAAATGAGGGTGTGCAAGTAGGGGTGTCACAGACACTCCATCCTCACTGAGACACACGAGGTGTCAGGCAGGCTTTGAGGTGGCTTCTGCATTTGGAGGGTATTTGTGAACTGGTCTGGGGGGAAGCAGAGCAGAGAAGAACCAGCTCTGCAGAGCATCTTGGTCTCCCCCAAAGCACAATTTTGGTTACCTTTTGATGCTCTGTTGTACAGATTGCAGCCAGAATGGAGTTAGAGCAAACTGTCACTTTCAAAAAAGTCATTACACAAAACAGGAAGAATAGTAACAACACACTTACAAAGCACTAGTTAAATTAATTTCCATCATAGGTGACTCCTCCTCAGATGTCAGCAGCAGCTCAGCCCTGCAGGGAGCAGGGCAGACCTGTGCAGATGTGTGTCCATTCCCTCCAGTCAAGGTGCAGAACGAGTCATTCATGGGAAAGCTTCTTTACGTATCTGTCAAAATTAATCTGTCCTAGGAAATAACAGTTTGACAGCAATATTATTTTTTCCCAATTGTGTTTTTGAAGAAAAAACACAATCCTGTCAAACTGCATCCCTGAGATGAAGAGATATGAAAAACAAATAGCTCTACATGTTTCTAACAGCAACCCTCAAATGTTTGTTCTATTGCAAATTATCTTCGGAGCCTTCATTCCTGAGGCATTTTGAAGCTGATATGTCATCCTACTTTTATCATGACAGCTCCCACTGAGACTGGTAGTTTGAAAACACTAGTAGTTTGAAAGGGTTGTACAGACCCTTTCCCACTGTAACAACAGGGCCAGAGATATTCAGTGCTACAATGACAGACTGAACTTTACATAGCGCTGTATGATGGGGTTATGCCAGGATAAAATACTAAATGGTAGGGTGTAAACCTGCAGGTGAAGAGAAGATAACTACTCTGTGGGGCTCAGAGATCAGATGCTGGCCATGCCACTGTGCAAGGAAACCTTGAACTCCCTGGCAGCCCTCAGTGAGCTGGAGTCTGAGACTGACAGGGGGCTGAAGTCTCCTTGTGCTCCTCCTTGCCCTCACATTCACACTAAGAAAGGGCATTTCATACAGCCTGGGTGCCACTGTGACATATAAAATCTCCTGTACAACAGTGTCATTCCAAATGAAATGAAATTAAATAAAAAAGTCTCAACATGAGACACAAAGATGAAAGGATAGGTACTATGGTTGGTCTTATCTCTTTCTTCATCTTGTCTAGGATCTTAGATTAATTTTCTCAAACAAACAACATTACAACAAATGTTAAACAGCACCATTTCAATGCAACCAGGAAACAAAAAAGTATGTTGGATAAAAGTACTCAACCCTTTACACTGACTCAGATTGTTTCTTATTGCATTTTTAGGGATGGATGCTATAAACGATTACCGTGTTATTTTTTGGAATGCTGGCTCAGGAGGGCTTCCTCCGAACGAAACCACTTTTGCCAAAATACTGCAGCACCAAGGCTACAGCACAGGACTGATAGGTATGGGGGCACTCCTCTCCTAAAGATGTTCTTGCATGTGTTTCACCTGCACATCTCACCCATTTGCTTTAGTTAGTAAGTGCTCGTACTTCAGTTGTAATAATTTTCTGATTAGGAATAATATGTAAATAGGAACTCTGACCAAAAAGTACCTCTCTAAAAGAACAAGCATAGGATAAAGTGGGCAATTTTTACCATTGACCCACTTTCAAGCACAGCTCTGGTTGTTAAAATACATAACAGAAAATGTTATTAATTCATTAATATTATTATGCCAGGTATAAAATACTTATTCCAATACTTTTTTAAAAAGTAAAAATATGGGTGTCATTTAAATATGCATGAAGATGTTTTACACAGTTCAGAGCAGATTCAGACTAAAGGGAACAGCTGCTACTTAAAACATTAGAGATGGTTAATAGTGTCACAAGATTGGGCCTTTCAGAAAGAGAAACAAAGCAAATTTTTTCTTCAGTCATTGTACATGCCATTGTAGTTCGCCAAGATCTCAGTACAGCCCAAAACCACTGCCTCCTTTAGCATCAATGTGAATTTCATTTTACTTTATATTTTATAGCACTATGTTTTTAGTACAGTTGTAGCTTTTGGTCATGATCTTGTTCCAAATAATTATTTATCTTAGATGTATCACATAGTTTCACAGGCTGATAAAGCACAAACATTCCTGGCTGTTTTTTTAGCTATTTGCCCTACCTCATCTGAGCATGTAAAATGTCAAAATCCAAAATCTACATCTGGCACATAAAAATATTATCAGCACAAACCAACTGAATTTATTAATAAAACTTCCTCCAGAAATAGATCTGTATTCATTCAACAGAATAAATCTAAATCATACAAAACTAAAAGAAGCATTCCAAGCAATTCAAATTCTACATTACTGAAGTTCCATCTCCTGTTAGTTTTATAGCGATATTATTTTAGTTGTTTAAATCAGCTTGTAAAAGAGACTGTGCATGCTTCCTCTTGGTTTCAGCATGTTATCACTGGCAAAATAATCAGATTTGTCTCCACTCTCCCCAGGGAATTGCCCTGCAGCAGCGGAGTCATGCTGCTTGCCTCCCAGAAGCAAAAGGGGAGTCATTTTCCCTGTGGGCATCTCAGCTAAAATCACACCACAGGTGCCAAAAGCATCACATAGATTAACCAGATTGACAGATCCTGATTAATTACACCATGGGGGATGATGCAAAGAACCAGTGATAGGTGACACACAGAATACCACAAGAATTTTACCTTCAAGTCATGAAGCAAAAAATCTTAAAATCTACCCATGTCACCACAGCTGAATGAACACTAAGTAGTCTCACCTGAATTGTTTGTGATTGTTTTGCCCTGAGCGCAACCAGTTTAATTGCAAAGTTAAATCCTATTAATAACCTGCAGCCTGAGGTGATAATGAGATTTTTTTTGTTGAGAAATGTTTTGATGGCTCTTTCTAGTCAGAAAACCAATGCTGTATAAGTAATGCCTTCAGAGATTAATTTATCTTAATTATACACTTAGTTTAGCTTCTGGTGATTTGATTCTTTTCTAGCATGTCAGAAACCTTTATCGACCTCAGCTGGAGATTTAGGTGTTGGAGTGCATCTGAATTCCAAGAATACTTTAGCTGCCCCTATATTTATGACCAATGCATTTATGTATTGATTACAAACCTGTTTCATTCTACAGCTGGCTCTAAATATGTCAGGAGGTAAACTGAGTAGAGATTTTAGCTGAAAGCAATTCATCCACCCACACTAGAACTTCCATTCTTTATATTTACAGCTGAGAAACAGCAATTTTTCCCCGCTGGAGCAGTTTTTCTGCTCCTATTGTAATGCACTGCAATTCTATTGAAACCCACTCAGTTGGCTGCTATTATAGGTACTGATAACATACTGAACCATTTCTTGAGGATAACATCATACTGGAAGTGCACACTTCCTCTCTCTACAATAAGAATTAGTTTCAAATTAGTTCTTGAGTAAAGTTCTTAATGTCCATCATGCTCTAACATCCAAGATCTGCAAAAAATGCCATTAAACCTCTGATGAGTGGTAGATTTTGTTCACTCAATTCAGATATTCTCAAACCTCAGTGTTTGAACCAAACAAGCCAACTTATTATGTCACCACATAAGTTCCTAACCAGGCTGTTTGAATAAGCTGGAGGGGAAGCAAAAGCATGGTTTGAATGAGCATTTCATGAAAGCAGTTGGTATGTTCACAATGAAGAACAAATTGTGTTGCAAAAGGTCAAGAGATGTTCCTTCTGATAAATGAAGACTTCAGTATTTAAAAGAAGGCTTTAACTTTTAAAAATTTTATTAAATCCAAATAAATGGCAAAAATATTTATAAAACAAAGTCTTTTATTCTCAGTCAGTATATGGAGATATAATGATCATCAATGTTACTTACAAATGTACAGCTTAATGAGAAATCCTGATCTCCTGAGCTCAAGTTTTTCTGGACCAAGTGGTTTGTCTGGCAAACAGTTAAATGAGCTGCTAGTTTAACTACTCTGTCCATATCTCCCCCTATCAATGTGGCACCAACACGGAGTGTTACCATAGTCCTGACATCAAGCACTTCAAAACCTCCCAGGAACAAGTCTACATAGCACTTTGAAGGTAAAGGGACAACAAAAGAAGGTTATTTCCCCCTATGCTTAACAAAGGACAGCTCCCTTCTATTTGATACTTGACAGGTCTCCAGGAAGGCCATACATTTTTGCTCAATTCAGAATTTTTCTCAATTTCTAGTTGCCTTTATATGCTTTTTTTAATGTTTGACCAAAGCTACTGTATATATATATACAGAGCACAAAAAAAAAGGTTTGAAAATTTATAAATTGTAGAGCTTTACTTTAATCAATCCTATTATATAACAACATACTTGGTATATTTCTGTGTAGGATGAAGCAGTTATCATGAGCAGAAAACAACCAACCACTTTTTGAGAAATCTTTTGTTAAGGGAAATTCCATTTTTTAAAAACATTATATTTTTTTATTTTAATAACTTCTGTTTTCAGGGAAGTGGCATCAAGGTGTTAACTGTGAATCCCGCAATGACCACTGCCATCACCCTTTAAAACATGGATTTGACTATTTCTATGGGATGCCTTTCACACTAATAAGTGACTGTCAGCCAACAGAAACGCCAGAGATGGACAGAGCCTTCAGGAGGAAACTCTGTCTTTCCACTCAAATGATTGGCCTCATTACACTCACTGCTGTCCTTGGGAGACTGACTGGCTTGATTCCAGTCCACTGGAGAACACTGACCTGCCTTGCTGGGTTCAGTCTCCTGTTCTTCATATCCTGGTTCTCGAGTTATGGATTTGTACGGTACTGGAACTGCATCATGATGAGAAACCATGGAATTACTGAGCAGCCAATGGTGACAGACAGAACTACGTCCCTTATCTTGAGAGAGTCCATTTCATTTATTGAGAGGTGAAGTGGACTTCTTTTGACCACAAGATTTCTGGTTCTTGTACATTTTGCGACTTGGAAACAGCACTTTCCTCTTTCATGTCTTCATAAGTTTTTATAATTTTTACAGTATTATGTAGGATTATTAGTACTGTTATTTGTATTAATTTTAAATAATATGAATAGGTATATAATGTAATTAAAAAGAAAAAAAAAAAAGCTGCTGCTTAAGGATGCCCCTTATTCCTAGCTTCACTAAAGCTGATAATACTTCCCAACTTCCATGGGTTGTATTGAATATTTCTAGGCTATATTTAAGAAATATGTATACCTATCAATGAGAGCAGTATAGCAGCATTAAGGAATAGCAGGTGATGTGTGGGCCAGGGAAGGAGAAGCAGAGCTGTGATGTAGCCTTATCATATGGACTGATAAGTGGGCATCAGCTGGCAGGGGATGAACCTGCTGCCTTCATTTCAGTAGCACAGTGGTGCTTTGCAATAGCAGAAAGTGGATCTTTAATCTGGATATTTTTTATCTATGATTCAGGGTAGAAAATTATATTTTATATAGACCCAAAATTATTCTATGGGATCCTAATCACTGGGTTATAGTATCTTACAACGTAAGGTGTTTCTGAAGGGACTGTTGAAATATCTATACAAACATAATACCATTTTTCACTACAACTGATCTGCATTGAGAACCCTCCTCCCTAATAACACAGTGTTGATTTTTGTTTTGTAGAAATAAGCACAAGCCATTCCTCCTCTTTCTTTCCTTTTTGCATTCCCACACCCCTCTCCTCACCACAGAAAAGTTTCTTGGGAGGAGCAGACACGGTTTATATGGAGACAATGTAGAGGAGATGGACTGGATGGTGGGTAAGTCAACATAGCATCTAACAATATCTCCAACTATCAAATATCTAGGTCTAAATAAACAGATTTTATTAAAAGAACAAGGAAGATGATTAAAAGCATGTACAAAAAAATCATAAGCATTAATGAACATCTGTCAGTCTTGTGTGAGCACTGATGATTTACAGTGTTACAGTGTTGGTTTTTTAGTTTCTCCTGTCTTGAGAAGATGATTAAAAGCATGTACAAAAAAAATCATAAGCATTAAGGAACATCTGTCAGTCTTGTGTGAGAACTGATGATTTACAGTGTTACAGTGTTGGTTTTTTAGTTTCTCCTGTCTTGGGCCAAATGTTCGCTCTTTTTTTTTGGTCAAGTGTTTACCACTTTTAACCATGTTCCCTTAGCTCCTGTCAAGGAGCTCTCCTGTTTCTCTTACTAAATATGTGATAACTATTTCATTTTCTATGATTAGTAAAGACCAGGTCATTTCAGCCTCTTGTGGCCATTTCTGAGCAGGACACATCAGAAGGTGATAAAGTCAATAAGGAAATTAATTTCAGATGAAAAACAGCAGGTTATTTATTTGTGACAGCTGCACTAAGCAGAGTACTGGATATTTTTCAGCCATGATCATAAATCCAGAAATGTCCATCAGTGTTATCCGGTATGCCCCCCACTATAAGATTCATGTTATTTTTCAGGCTGTTTTTCTGGAGGGGAAGGAGAATTATTTGTCATTCAGTCATGATGGACAAAAAGTATTCACATTTGCAAAAGAGAGAAAAGTGAGATACACATAGAGGAAGAATTTGGTTTCAAACGTCATACACTTACATACTGCAAATACAATTAAGGATGTCAAAAACAGCTCAAGAATTACTTTTAAATTTAAAGGCACTTTGTTATTAATGCATATTATATCCATGCAGTAATGTAATGCAAATCCTAACTGGTCTAGACAATACAAGGGCAATTTTATGTTTTTTCCATATTTTTCGTGATGGCCACCACTGATGCAGGCACTAACTTTTAGATCATAATTTCTTTCCATATTTTTACAGTACTGGTAGTTTTTGCCCTTGACAATACAGGCTTCTTGTCTGTGACTGTGGTTCTTGCATTCCCCGTTAAAATACCAATAATAAAGTGGTTACAACACATCACAAATTTTCTGTGCTTTTACAGACAATGAAATCATAACTACAAATATCAGTCTTAAAATATATTAAACAATGAGCAGCCTTACCTAGGTAAGAAATTACACTGGTAAACATTTACAAGTCAGAGGTTAAAATTTATGTAGTATGAGGAAAAATTTTGCTTTTTAATATACACATATTCTTGCGTTTACAGGCCAGGTTCTAGATGCTATTGACAAGGAAGGCTTGAAAGAAACTACACTAGTTTACTTTGCCTCTGATCATGGTGGATGGCTGGAAAGACAAGAAGGTGAAAGGCAGTTGGGTGGCTGGAATGGAATATACAAAGGTAAGAGCTGTCAGGGACAGTGAAAACCCAGCAACAACTGGTAAAGAACTTAGGACACCCCTAAGGCTTTAAGTGAGATTATGCACTCAAGGAGTAACACTGGTTTTTTATTACCAAGAAACAAATATGTCTCATTTTAATTAGGCATGTAACAATGTATTAAATTCTAACTTGGGCAGGTGTCCTTTGTAAGCATGAATTCTCGGATTGTCAGGGTCTGGTCTACTGAACACACTTTCACTAATGCTCAGTAGGAGCTTAGCAGCAAAAACAAAGGAGTAAAGAAGGCTCACCAAAGTAACATGATAGTGCAATAAAATTTGTGCAAAAATTCTCTTTATTTTAAATCAAACTTATTTTTTTTGATTTTTCTTTTTATTTAATGAAAGGTGGAAAAGCTATGGGAGGCTGGGAAGGAGGAATCCGTGTCCCAGGGATATTTAGATGGCCAGGAGTGTTACCTGCAGGCACAGTTATTGATGAACCTACAAGCCTTATGGATATTTATCCTACAGTAGTTCATTTGGCTGGAGGGGAAGTGCCTCGGGACAGGTACAAATAAAAGCATTTATTCTTCCTTCTTTCCCAAAACAATGAAAAATCTAGCTTGGAAACACATTCTAAGAGTTTGATGTTTTCTTTTTCAGTCCTGTTGCTTTTTTAGACACATCAATGTCTATGAGTCCAGTCACCTCTTCTCTGCCTTTGAGATCCAGCCCCTACATGCCATCTCCTGCAATCCTCTTTCTTGTCCAGAGCTGCCAGTTCCAGGGAGAGGTGTGCAGAGGAAGCACAGTCCTGTCCAGCTCACCCCAGCCCTGTGGTGTGTTTGTCTTGCTAGGGTGATGGACGGCCGGGATCTGCTGCCCTTGCTGCGAGGGGCGGTGGCGCACTCGGAGCACGAGTTCCTGTTCCATTACTGCGGCGCTCACTTACACGCCGTGCGCTGGCACCAGAAGGACAGTGAGTACACAGCTCCTTCCCAGAGAATTATGTACAGGAGGGCACACCGTTCTAACACATTGTTTTTCTGGGATTCCGTCTTCCCAAGTTCTTTGGGTGTAATGTGGCAAAGAACTTATATTGGCATTGCCTGTGTTGTACAGCACCAGGAGAAATTACTGCATTAACTAATAAGTGTAGAGCTGAAGTGCACCCAGAAATGAACTCTAGAAAAACATTCACTCTTCCTTGTGATAACTGGCATTGTTATAACCAGCCTTGTGTTATTCTTTCTTTCCTGCCAGCTGGAGCTGTTTGGAAGGCTCATTTCATGACTCCCATTTTCAGACCTCCTGGAGCCGGGGCTTGTTATGACAGAGGATTTTGCCCATGCTTTGGGGAAGGAGTGGCCCACCATGAGCCTCCATTGCTGTTTGAGCTCTCACAAGACCCTTCTGAAGCCAAACCTCTCTCAGCTGACACAGAGCCCCTCTTTGACACTGTCATAAGGAAGATTGGCAGAGCCATAGAGGAACATCGCAGGACACTGACTCCAGTGCCAGAGCAGCTCTCTGTGTCCAACGTGGTGTGGAAACCGTGGCTGCAGCCGTGCTGTGGGACGTTCCCATTCTGTTGGTGTGATAAGGAAAGTGAAAATAAACTTGTTGACCTATAAAGGATAGAACCTGATACTTTCTCAAAAATGTATTTAGGTTAAGAGTGTTTCCTTTGGGGGTGTTGACCCATGGGTCATTTGTTTCTCTAAATTGAGCCTTTACAAAATAATTATTCCAGTGAATAGTGCAGTATTTAGTAAAGGTAGCTTTAAGCTGAACATTCTCAGGGAGGGATCAAGACATATGATCCGAAGGCCATGTTTTAACTAGCACCTGCTGACAAGTGAATGAATAGTTCAAATGCACAGAAGCAGGCCAAGATTAGAGCTGTACAAGAAATGATTCTGAATGTATATTCAGAAGCTTTCCTTTGGGTTTTTGCACTGAATTTCTAAGTGATTCATGGACTGAGGTCTCCCTTAATTCTGTTATCCTAATCTCCCTTTTGTTATCCTAGCAATGCATTTTGTTATTCTTATCTCTCCTTTTGTTATTCTGGCAATGCATAAGGTGGCCCTATAATAAATTTTTGCAGACTACTGCTTCCAAAAGCATTAGAAAATAGTCTTGCCTGCAGTTCCTCAAAAAAATCTTTCTTAGGAGAGGCATTCTTCTTCCCTTGTAGCTAGTGACTCCAGCAGCAGTGATGATGACAGCTGATTGTCCCAGGCAAGGCATAGAGCTTGGAAACATGACAAGCTGGGTAGTGGCTGTCTGTGCTCTCTGAGAAGGGTAGTACTCCTCTGGTTGGAGTCAGCTTCTTCTCATGGAGAGGAAATAAAGGAAAGACTGTCCTTTTCCAAAGCTCCCTTTGCCTCCAGCTCACTAAACAGCACTGGCAAGGGCCTTTTGACACTGATAGCCACAGCAGTGCCACACTGATAACCAGTTCAGTGAGTTGGGCACAGGACTGCACAAGTTACCCTGCTGCCCAGATCTCAGTCATAAGTGTTTCCTGATGACAAGTAGCATGTTCAGAAAAGATCCTACGAAAGATGGCAAACAGTAATTATGAAAACAAGCAATAATTTGCTATGAAAAAAAGATACTGATAATTAAGGTATTTTTTGCTTCACAAATTACATTTTCATTCCAAAGAGCTAGAAGTACCTTGCTTTTGTTCTTTTTCTTTTTCTTTTTTTTTTTCCTGCAGTTTTTTCTTTCTTTATGTTAAAATAGTTGTTCCTAATTACATGGCCTTGCAGGTAGTGTTTTTCTATGTAGGACTGTAAATACATCTGTTCACATAGACACATTTACACTGGTACATCAGAATAGCTACACATCTGAGAAGATAATTTGCCCATTTGTTTTACTTCACTGTTTTTAATTATTCTTTAACTACTGTGCTAGGACAAATTTATCTTATTCATTTTACTTGGTAAACATTTGGGTTTTTTTTTTTTTTCCTCTCTTGTTTTCCACACAGTCACCAGGAAATCTGCAGGTAAACAAAGCCCTGAAGCTTAAAAGCAAAAATTTATTTTATGCTGTGACTTTATGCATTTCATATGTTATAATTCAACCAGATACTCCATCAGTGCTATTGATGAGAAAGGTGAAAAATTCAAGACCTTCATTAAATCCATATTAAATCACTTTCACATGTTCTGATTGCTGCTACTTCCTCTGTTGTGAGAAACGCCTGGGTTTTTTCCTCATTTGAGTATATTCTGTTTAACTGGTTCTTTCTTGGTGAGATTTAAAGATATTTTCATATTCAAAATTAATTGTTTAGCTGAAATTACTGTAATCAGACTGGAATTTTTCAATTTGCTCAGGCATTTTCCAGGATATCACGTCCATTCTCAAACCATTCAGTCACCAGGAAATCTGCAGGTAAACAAAGCCCTGAAGCTTAAAAGCAAAAATTTATTTTATGCTGTGACTTTATGCATTTCATATGTTATAATTCAACCAGATACTCCATCAGTGCTATTGATGAGAAAGGTGAAAAATTCAAGACCTTCATTAAATCCATACTAAATCGCTTTCACATGTTCTGATTGCTGCTACTTCCTCTGTTGTGAGAAACGCTCTGGGTTTTTTCCTCGTTTGATATATTCTGTTTAACTGGTTCTTTCTTCGTGAGATTTAAAGATATTTCCATATTCAAAATGAATTGTTTAGCTGAAATTACTGTAATCAGACTGGAATTTTTCAATTTGCTCAGGCATTTTCCAGGATATCATGTCCATTCTCAAACAAGTTTAGTAGGTGGGATTTTATGTCCTCTCAATTTTTCAACACCTTTAGGAATGTACAGGTGTAATATCTGTGAATTTTAGCAAACCAGTTTTTCTTTTGCTGAAATACTTCATAGCACTATAGGATATGTATATCCATTAGGACCAGGGGGTACTGGAAAAGACCTGAGCTAGGATTTGTCCTGGACACTGGTGCCAGCACATGAAAGCACAGTGATCATCCCTTGCTGATCTCCAGAGTGCCATGGGATGAACAACCATTCATGGTGGAAAGGACATTGCACTTGGAGTGAAGTCAGGCAATGATAATATTATCACTGCCTTGACAATAACATACTTGGAAACATATTAACTAGCAAATACTAATTGGCTTGCTCACATTTCTTTTTTCCTTTTTTCCTACAAGATTCATTGGCTACTATTTCAGTGCAAATAATTTGGTAAGACCGACTGTTTCTATTGAAAACAACATGGTTTTCATTTCAGTGATTTATGCTGGTCATATCCTAAGATGACGTAGATAGTGTTCAAGACAGGATTTCAAGAGCATCTTACAAAACTTCTAAGATCTAAATTTGGATAGTGAAAATGTTTTCAAACAGTGTAGAAAGCAATATTTGAGCATGAAAATCAAGCTGTTAAAAGCATAATTATCTCCTTTCATTTGAAAATTGGACATAAAATATTTGTCTGTTTTACTGAAAAGAGATCTGTGAAGAACGGGGAAAAAATTATTCTATAAGTACTATTGTAGTATTTGATATATTATGGTTTGCTTGCTTGTTTGTTTTTACATTAGAATAAAAGCAATATTTTTAAGCTGCTTTTGAACTCTCCCAGACACACACTGGTCAAGTGCTTCAGCTTGACTTCAGCACTTAATCATCAAAAAGATCACAGTTTTCAGTATTTCAAGCTAAGCTTCCGTGGACACCATGATAGAATATTCTGATGATTTGTCAGGCTTAATTAATGGTTTTGTCCCTGGACATGCAAGTTGGTATCAGTGATGTCTACACTTGAACACTATCTGAAACAAGACTGCCTGTGTTGTTAAACAGCATTGCAGGGGCAACCCAAAATATCAGTAACCAATGGTAGTACCTGGAAATGTCAAAATCAGGATTATAAATTTAAAAACTCACAGCGTCTGTCAGTACCATGAAACTGAAGGGATGCAATGTTGCCTCATAATTTCCACTATGTGTCATAACATCACATGTGGTTTACAAATATGCATTTTTATCCTATCTAAAGGAAGCAATTAAAGTTATTATTGGAAATTACTAGTAATATATAAAGAATAAGCTCTTGCTTGTCCTGCTTTTCAGAATTTCACTTCAGTTTGCATTGTTTTGTCACTGGGGCTTCACTGTTTTTGCACACTTTAGCATCCTTCATACTTTTTTGATAGTTTTTGTTATAAAGGAATTTACTAACTGTTTTGTCACTGGGGCTTCACTGTTTTGTTTTTGCACACTTTAGCATCCTTCATACTTTTTTGATAGTTTTTGTTATAAAGGAATTTACTAATCTCAGCAGAAGACTGGGATACTTGCAAAATTCCAACATGAGGCAGTTACAGAGTTGACTTTCTACTATCAGGCAGTTCATTTATTTCTTACTAGTCACCGCTACAATTAATGAATTATTTTTAACACAAATTTGCAAGTATTTTTTAAAATAGATGTTCAATCTATATGAAAGAATTGAGAAAGCAAGAAAAAAACTGTTAAAACCAGGAGATGATACATAAGTTGATTTATTTCACCCTTTTTCATTCTTTCTCTGGAGGCCAAACTAAAGATGCTGGTAACAAAGAGTGCTTTAAAAGCATCACATCACCTTACTATGCTGTTGATTATGGCAGACGGCCAGAGACACAAGATGGAGGAGCCTTTATAGCAGGACAGAGCGAATTCACACAGATGTGAGAGTTGGAAATGGCGTGATCAGATCCCAAATCCCTACTTTCTTCATTGAGTCTTTGCAGAATGGATCCTTCCCTTGAGTCTTGGTTTGTAATCCAGGAATTTTCTGCTGCCTCCTGAACTGTAACATTTCTACATAGTTTTTCCAAGTCCCTCAAAAGAAAAAAATTATCTTCATATTTCTGAAGCTTTCCTTTAATATGTTCTCCCTAATGCAGGCAAGCACCCTACTCTCAACAGTGGAGCTTGAACCTCATTCCTCATTTCTTTGCCCCTTTTCACAGCTACCAACTACTTTTTTGGGCAGAAGTTTTTAGTGAAAATATTGCAGTAACTACTGCTATATGCTGATACTATTTAAGACCCTAATGCTCCCCTTGATTTCTGTACACCACACCCACCAACGATGCTGTGAATACCACTGTAATTATCAAGGGCTAGATAGTAAATTCTCTTTTCTCCTTATTGCCATAGCATTTTATATCAATATTTATTTTGGCCTTTGAGCAAGAATATGTCTATACTAAGAATCTCTCTCCTGTTTTCTGCCTTTCTCTGAATAAAACCCTTATTTAATGTATTACAGTATAACACCTTTATACCCTCTTCTTAAACCAGTATAAGCACACACAGCCAGTTAAAAGAGGGGCCCAGTACTCCCATGGGACTGGGAAGATGCATGGCAAGCCCGACTGTGCAACCACATGTGTATGGCACAGGAGGGAGCTCACAAAGAGAGGAGCGATAATAACATCAGAGGGAATTAGCCAGGCTGCCAGGATTGGCGTGAGCACACCAACGTGACAACACAACAATAACTGTGCAACCACATGTGTATTAGTGCTGGCACAGGAGGGAGCTCACAAAGAGAAGAGCGATAATAACATCAGAGGGAATTAGCCAGGCTGCCAGGATTGGCGTGAGCACACCAACGTGACAACACAACAATGGAT